TGTCAGATAATAGTGAAGATTCTTACCTTACACCTTACAGGCCAGGTTCTATCGGTGAATGTTGCCGGTAAAGTATTGATGAAGTCTTTCTTGTCTGGAATGCCAGAATGTAAATTCGGAATCAATGATAAAATCACGCTGCAACAGTCGAGCTCTAGAAATCAATATGATGATCCAAGTAAACCGTGAGTCAATTTCATCTGCCACCCGACAGATATAAGATCAGTTGTCTCATATCGTTCAGAGCTCGGACTATGGTTGCCATAGATGACATTCAGTTTCATCAATGTGTCCGATTAGGAAAATTTGAAAGTGATCGAGCGATCTCGTTTATTCCGCCGGATGGAACTTGTGAACTGATAAAATATCGCACCACGCAAGATATCAAGCTACCTTTCCGGTACGCCTCTGTACAAAATCGTGATTTGGGCTATCTGTTTCTCATCATACTGTATCACATTCTAAAGTCAAGTTATACTTGCAAAATACGTATAAGTTTTGTGGCGCTAACTATATGTGTTGAGGAATTGTTTGTCAGAATATCTGGTTTTCGACATTTATCTTTATATCGAATACTTTCTAGAGTCATTCCTTTGGTAAAGGAGGTGAGCAAGTCAAAACTAGAAATCAAGGTCGTGCTGAAGGCAGAGTACAAGCAAAACCTTGTTGGACAGAAGATAGAGGTGAGGATTGGTCCAAGTACTCCTGCTGGTGACAGCTATCTTTCGTGCTGCTGGCAACAAAGGAGCCAGTGTGTTTTTGATAGCTGTGTCTGCTTGTTGAAAGCAGACATCGCTTTCATCATGTTCTTTTTCAGGTTCGCATTCCAACACCGCCGAACACATGTGGCGCGAATCTGTTATGCATGAAAGGAAAAGCGAAGTACAAGGCGGGCGAAAATGCTATTGTCTGGAAGGTAAATTCTTGATGTTATGTTACCTCGCATATCTACTGACTGAGAGTAGTATAATTACACCTAGACTGTTGCTCATGAAATTCTTCAGTCATATAGGCGGTATTCTAGCTAGGGTTCAAAATAACATGACTGCTTTCCGAGAATATCATCAAAAGAATGGTGGAGAACTGAGCAAAATCTCACCATCAAAACTGATCAATGAAGCTTCAGTAAATGGAGTCAGAGGCGCAAAAAAAATTTGGAAATGTACCCTCTGAAACAACCAGATAGACGGCTGGAGGGCGGGGCTTCGATCGATT